AAGTCAAATAATTGAAGAACAAAATGCGGGAGATGTCTATTTTACTGCATTGGACTTCACATATTCATACGTATAAGTAGCGTTAGATCAAAAAACTAGTGAACATTGCAGTTTTTTGTTAGTATGGGGAAAATCGACGGAACATATCGCCTCAAGAACTGGTTTTACGGGCTTAATTCAATGCCGGCAGAATTTCAAAAAGTTATCGATACCCTGCTCAAAGAATTCCCTCAAGCGAACGCGTTTATAAACGACATGCTCGTCGTGTCTAAAAAAACTGAACCCGATGGGCACCCTAAGACTGAAGGGCACCCTAGGACTGGAACGCAAAATTTAAGGTCGAACTTTTTGACGCGTTGAAACCTATACAACAAAAAGGCCGCAGAGTACCGATCAATCTCCAAGAAAAAGTGGACAAAAAAATAATGCGCCTAATTAATGAAGGAGGCATCATTATGTTGCAAGAATGTCCGGACAAGAATTTCGTGTCTGCAATCGGAATCATAGTAAAGAAGGACGGAAGCACAACGCTAGCATTAGAATGAAGGAAATTGAACAAACAAGTACATTACATAAAAATAAGTACCAGACGTCGAATATTGATGAATTAGTAGACGGAATAAGTCAAATTTGTGCAAAACGAAAAGCGGGAGATGTCTATTTTACTACATTGGACTTCGCATATGCATACGGACAAGTAGCATTAGATCAAAAAACCAGTGAACAGTGCAATTTTATGTTAGTTGGTTCCAAGAATGGGAACATATCGATGGGAACATATCGCTTCAGAACGGCTTTTGTGGGCCTACTTCAATGCTGGCGGACTTTCAAAAAGTTATAGATACCCTACTTGAACAATTCCCTGAAGCGAACGCCTTTGTAAACGACATACTCGTCGTGTCTAAGGAAACTAAACTCGATTACATTGCATTAGTCGAGAAAATCCTTCGAGAACTGGATGTATCAAACGCCGCACTGAAGCTACGAAAATATGAATTTGCGAAGAGCGAATGTGAATGGCTAGGTTTTAAAATCGAGAAAGACGGTATTACACAGTTGGTTCGAAAAGCCCAAGCAATCGAAGATTTAAATCTCCCAAAGTCTAAAAAACAGTTGAATGTACTAATGGGATCCTTACACAGCCTAGGTAAATATTACTGAATCTAGCAGATGTTAGTTCTCCATTTCGACCGTTAGTGAGCCTAAATAATGAATTTATCTGGACGCCGGCATGCGACAACACGTTTCAACAACTAAAATGTTTGGTCAAGAATATCGTCGGCCTCGAAAATTTTGATATATATCGGGAAACTGTCATAGTATGCAACGCTAGTCACGTTGATTTGGGGTCCGTGTTGGAGCAGTACGCTTCGAATGGCTGTCACCCAATATCATTTTTTTCAAGATATCTCAACGCGGCAACAAAAAAATGCTCGACAAATGAAGTGGAACTACTGGCTGTAGCATATGTAACCAAACAATTTGGCAATTGCATTTACGGGCGATACATTACAGTCATATCGGATCATAAAACGTTATAAAACATGTTAAAATTGTCCCCAAATGAAAAAAAAAAACATTTTTCAGTAGAGTAAACTGAGAGTACGATCGCTCATTAGCTTAAGAGTTTAAAGTAGAAATTCATCAAGGATCAAAAATGGTCCAAAAAATCCAAAAAATACTGGCGGTTGAGGGCGTCCGAACATGCGTTCGATCAAGAGAGAGACTCATACCCAAAAGCAATCAAAGGAAATTTGACAATGCAAATTCAAAACCGATTTATAAACATTCACAAGAGTGCTTGGCTCCATGCAACCGACAGACATCCAATCAGAAGCGAGATATTTGCATACCGAAGGATATATGCAAACGTAGCTCTCAGTCAGATACATACAGTTGCTCAATTAAACAATTTAAACTTTCAGTAAGCAAAATGTCTACTCATAACTCGCCAGAAAAGTCCAATCCAAAAATGTCAACAATTGTAAATACATCAACACCATTCGGAAATGTGAGTTTAAATATTGTCTTAAATCGAGCGCAGATTCAAGCTACTAGCCTTGTCTCAGACTCCAATATCGAAGTAATACCCCCAAAAAGTTAAAGCCCAAAACAAAAGCTACCAAAAAGTTGAATACTATCATCTCGTTTCCACATCTTTTCCCGGGTCTCTTCTACCCCCTTGTAATTAATGAAAATAGGGTTTACTCCACTGCCCCCACGGATTGCAACGTCTTGAAGAAGCTCGATTTCCCCGAAATCTTGAAACTTAAGCTTGTGGAAAACATTCTCGAAAAGAACCCGATATTGAAGATAATCAGAAACGTGATCAGGGACAAAAACCCAAGGGCAAACAAAATTGTCACCCGGCTCCAGCAGTAGTACGCACAGAACTACAACGAATTCTCAGTACGAGAAAATTGCATGGGGATGGACGGGCGGTTGGCGATCTCGAAAGATTTGGCTGCGTACATTCTAAACAGATTGCACCACAATCACCACGGCTGGGACAAGATGTTCGCAGCGGCGAAAGATGTATGGATCCAACTGATGCACCGAAACTTCTCAGCTACCGCAAAGTTCTGCAAACACTGCCTGGAAACAGGTGAAAATTTTAAAGCGGATAAACCAAAGTGAGATATAGGTACAACATATGAAACGAAGGAACCGAACGATTTGGTTCAATTGGATTTTTGGGGCCCAGTTATATAGAAAGAAATTTGTCTTAGTAGCAGTTCACATTGACCTTCGACCTAAGTCTGTTCAAGTAACACTTCAAAAAGTGTACTTAAGCTCCTAATGAAACATATAGAAACACATGGTCACCCAAGGAAACTACATAAGGAACAAGCGTCCGGATTCTTTCAAACGAAATATTAAATTCTGCAACTACGAAGGAATTGAACTTAAAAAATATCCGGTGAAAGATCACCGCGCTACAGGTATAGTTGAAAGAACCATCAGTTCAATAAATAGTTATGACCGCAGGTACCTACGGGAAGACAGAAATAAAAAATTTGAGAGAGTGATAGCAAGTGCGCTAAGCGCATTACGTTTCGTACCACATTTCAAAACTAAAATAACCCCGTTGGAGGCACATCTCGGCAGAGGGCTAGCAACGTACTCCAAAATCTCACGAGAAAACCTTCGCGGAAAAATCTCGACTGTACGAATCTAATTTATCAAAAACTGCAATGTTAAGATGAGGCAAGCGGACACCCTGAAGTCGAGTTGAATCTGGACTGGTAGAAGCGCAGTGACCTAGTGTATACCCCACAGAATCGTAGGACTCCTCGAGCTTTGGAAGAGCACGAACGTTTGGAAGCGGATGTAGAGCTGACACACACAAACGCATCATCGTGGCTGAAACTACACAATACCAGTACCACTGTGGGATACCAACGGACTGGAGTCACAGACCCAAAAGACCCACGGAGATATCAAGGTTTGTCAACTAAAATAAAGAAAAATAACAACACACAGCTCAAATGAAACAAAGATCCCTACTAAAACGAAACGGTGCTTCTTTTAGATCGGAAGCAGAGGAGAATCAAGCGGTAACGGGAGCGGCCCAAGGCCCAGTTCAACTAGCACCCCAGGCCCGAGTACGGGAGTTCCCGAAAAAGAGGCCACACCGGCGAAGAAAGATAGCATGCTCGGGAATTCGAGCTTTTTCGGGAGCAGAAAAGTCGAAACACAAAACGCGGAAGAAACGGTTGTCCACGGTGACCGAGGATCGCGAGAGAAATAAAATGTGACGTGATATCGGTACAAGCAGCGACGAGTACAGCGAAGAAGACGACGAGAACCAACGAGCGGAAGTAACGAGCGGAGCGAAGTCGATGATTCAGATAACGGCGGTTGAAGAAAGTAGGAAGGACGACACGAGTGAATCCTCGGGAAACGAGCGAGTGGGGTCATCGGGAACGACGGTTCGAGCAAACAGCAATGCGATGTTCTACGAAGCAGCAAAGAGGGGCACCAAAATGGGTGGCGTAAGGATCAATCTAATTACTCGGAAGTAGTGAAAGATCTCGCCAAGAGAACCCAGGGAGAGGGCCGGCAGCTAAAGTCGAAACATTTAAAGTTAAACTTTTCATAAAACTAAAACTAAACTAAACTAGTTTAGTTTATTATGTACCAGCTGAGTTCGGATTATTATAAATTTTCAATCTATCGATTTAAGATTTATTGTGGTTGCCTCTATGACATAGGGACAAGTTTGAGTGATGTAAAGTCTTTGGTTCCGTCTGATGTCCCTGCTGCTGTTGACCTTCTGCTGGTCTGAAAACTGCTGCTGCTGGTCTGAAAAGTTTAACACTTTAAATTTTCGAGTTCTTAATGTTTTAGCACGCTTCGTAATGATCATTTTAGCCGAAGACTATTCTGCTACTTTTGAAAGAACTGACTATGTTATGTTTCCCGTTTTTGGCGCAGATAGCTGTTGATATTTCCAGCTACTTTTTTTCCATTTTACTCTGACTTAGTTAGTGAACTTTTTTGAAGAAGTTCAAATTTTTCGAAAGCAATGATTGGAGTTTATCTTCATTGTTTTTTTTTTCGCTCGAGTAAAATTCATCAGTAGCACTCTTAGAAAAATAGAGAACTACTCTCTTCATTTCTCAAATACTGCCCGTATTTGCAATGGATTTGCGTAAGGTATACGAGATTGACTTTTTTCCAGGCGTTTTCTATTCGAGCACGACTGATAAGTTATACTCGAGCAGAAAAATTAGAACCAGAAAATCCAAGAGCAAAAAAAGTGTAAGTATATTTTTTAAATGTTCTGAAAACAAAATAACTTAATGTTTAGCTAAAACTAAGGAAGCACTCATTTCATGTTATAATGTAAAAGTGACCATAACCTTTTTCTATTTTTTAACATCATGGCTGTCCTTTTATTTATCGGTCAGCTTAGCTGCCGGCATAGTCACTCTATTTGCACAACTGCTCCTGCTCGCTGCTTTCTTACACTAAACCAGACATGAAAAGTCTTCAATTTAGCTATCAGTCCATTCGATTATCAGTGATTCAAGTTCTGAGTTACAGTAGATCCTACTCCAATCAAGAGCTGTTTTTCCTTTGAATCGATGCGAGACGCGATCATGAGGAAATCCCCGTTCTAATAATATTTGCACAAAATCGGTATCCGAATTCCTACTGCAAAGCAAGGTCAACAATGTATGCTGTTCAGCTGCAGCGCCTCCTTTGAGGAACTGAAACTCAGAAGTTTCATTGTCTTCGAAACAGTTGACAGACATCGCGGCTTCATTAAACATTTGAGATCCTGGCTTCAATTCGGATAGATTTTCAAAATTGATCGAAATGTTCTCAGATGTATCTAAAATGTGATCGTATTCGTCGTATGTCAGTTCCATTTCCTGTTTCAAAAAATCAAAAGACTCCAGCAGATGCATGACTTGTTTCAGCATTTCAATTGACCCACTGAAACAGGCAAAGAACAGTAGTTGGCCGCTCTGTTCTATCAGTAGTTTTTCATGCTTTATGATTTTCATTAGCCAGGTGAAAAGAGATCCATTTCCCACTGTCACAATGACACGTAAAAGGTCTGAAACACAAACAATCTTATGAATAAGTGAGTAAATATATGTTATTAGAACATCGAGTAAATTGTGATTTAATAAAAGTGAGTAAATAAATGGCCCACATAAGCATAAAAATCTGTTCAGCTCTTGAATGATAACTGCCGGTTTTTCCCTCCTTGAGACTGACATGCAATTTTTTTGGTTATTTTTTGGGCATCATGGAGATTTCTATATCAATCGCCGAGCACGTATCATTAACTTACCGTAATTACAACAAAGATAGCTGGTTACTGAGTCTTGAAGACTCAAATGTTCCGAGTCTTCAAGAAATCCAAAATTAATGTCGTTTTTTTTCTGCGTGGTGTAATTAGAAGAATTGGCTTTAATATGATATTGCACTCAAATCAGTCTGATGATTCTGTGTACATAATTTAGCGGGAAAATCAAAAACGAAAAAGTTAAAAATTAAAACACCCGAATTCAAAGTTACTCCCCATTTTTCAAATGGTCCCCGAACAATAAATTGTTTCCAAGCGAAGTCATTGCAGCTACATAATTACATTTGAGAATTCTTTTATAAACCAGTTACTTGAGAGAGCGCCAAAAGAGCGTCTCAGAGCATAGTCAACAGACAGTTGGAGACTGTCACTGAACGGAAGAAAGTAGAAAAAAAAGAAAAACTTTACAATTTCTAAGTTAAAAAATATTATTTACAGCTCTCGGAATTGATAAACTTAACGCAATTTGAGAAAACTGGACCAATAGATAAAGTTTTTATTCCACTGGGAAATCTGATAATTCACTTCCTTTTTCAAAACTAGACGACGATCACGTTTTTTGTGGCCTTTACACTTTCGCTTGGTAATTGTTGAGCGCAACTTTACTTTCAGAAAATGAAATTAAATTAAACTCCCATATTTCATTTATGCCATTCATAATTGCGTTAATATAAATGAATGCTTCCTGTAAATTTAAAGAGCATTTTCAGACTTTTCCTGAAAAAAATCGAGAAAAAAATTAAAACTTTCCAGACCTATATATGAGTCTGAGCCACGTTCATTGCGAGTGATTTTACGCAGAGACGAAGGTGAGTTTTGCACCACTTGCGATGCAATACTCAAAAAAATGGTCTAAAAACTTCAAAACAGGTCGAAAAAATAGAAAAAGTTATTAGAAAAACTAAGAAACGATTTACTCTAGAAACCAAAAACAAATTAATACAATAGAATGTAAAAATTATCATCGGAGAACTTGACAGGCGGTAGAAAACTCGATGGTGTCTGAGCACAAGTCCTTACAGCCGAAAAAAAACAATCTCTTTTACAACACAAAGGTCTAGTGGATGAATGAGTCCAGGATCCAGGAGATGAGTTCTGTGCCCAAAGCTATTTACGGAAAAAAGTCCCCGTTTGCAATACCCAGTCCCAAGTTCCATAGCAAAAAAAAGAGAGTTCAGACTATAACACAAGCTTTGCTTGTAAAAACATAGCCAATCGAAGATTGAAAAAGAGTAATGAACGCAAGTGAACATAAAAAAAACATTGATTTTGATGAAAATAATCTCAACTTTCAAATTTTAAAGAAAAAATAGATGCCCTTTAAGCTCTTTGAATTTCTAAAACAAGTTATGATTGGCTTTTTTTGCTAACATAGAGAACTTGAGAAAACTGGATCAACAAGTTTTTATTCCGCTGGAAATCTTAAAAATAAATTCCACTTCCGAAACTAGAAATCGTACACGTTTTTTTTGCGTGCCATTTCCACCTTTCTATTTGGAGAGTACTATTTAAGTCACTTTCAGCAGATTAATCTCAATTGAGCTCAAAAATTGCATATATACCTAAGTGCATTCATAAATGCATCAAAATGTATGATTGCACATCTGTAGTTATTAGAGACATTTATGTACATTTTAAGACTTTTTCCTGAAAAAAAACTAAATCAGCAAGACCAATATAAGAGTCTTCACTACGTTCATTAATGTTAAAAATGACACCTTGTTATATTGATTATAAATTATCACTTACTATTAAACTTTATTTGTTCCTCATAAAACTCTCGGCCCCCTTTCAATGCAGAGTTGGAAATGATTTCAGCACAGGTAGCAATCCTTCTACTGATTTCCTGAGTGTGATTGCGTCCTAATATCTTTAAAAGTTCACGATCTAAATTGTTCAAATTTGATTTCACGCTTACAGCAACACGGGATCTCGATCCTTCACTTGAGTCCAGGGTCTCCAGGATTTCAACCCGGACACTGTCAATTTGACTTTTGATCCTTTCCTCTAAATCTTGGCTCATCACGTCAGCAAATTTCCCGCCATCAACATTAAGAAAAAGGATCAACTCATCAGCCAAACTGTTGTACGCTTTGCAAACATTTGATCGGATACTATCAATTGTGCAATTTTTAGCTGATTTCAGAAGAATCGTCCGAACATCCTCGCCAAATTCTTGTTCTATAATTTCACTAACTTCTGATTTGGTAAAGCCAACACAGAAGACGCACTGTCTTAATACGTCCAGAGCGATCACGGGCTTCAACCATTTAGGTAGAATCAACAAAAGCTGCTTCAAAAGTGTTGAATTCAAATCGTAAACTGCTGAGAGAACTGACATCACTAAATCAACCCGACCTTCGACCGAATTCAAGTATACTTCATCGGATTCGGTTAACTGGGCCACCGCGCGTTTCATTAGTTGCAAGTAAAAAGGTTTCCGACGAATGAAACTGAAACCAAGATGATTGAAGTTCAAATGTAACAACACGCAGACTTCGTACTGTGCTCTAGACATTGCAACATTGACTATAGGTGCTACGATTTGTTCGCAACAACAATCGTCCATGATAACTAATACTGATAGAGCTTCGCAACCGGTGTAGGGGAAGCGAAAATCCTTCTGATGGCGTCCGCCGTCCAATATGAACATATTTCTCTCTGAGTAATCACTTCTCTGCTTTAGCTTGTTACGCCACAACTGGTTTCTATCGGCTATGTCGGTGTACACTGAAAAATGGACTATAATAAAAATAGTTGGCAGTTTTAGCACTCCTAGTTTGCTTATTCTGCGATGAATGACAAAAAAGTGATACTATTAATAAATAGGTATGCCTTGGTGTGAACAATCCGACGACATTTTTGACCTAAACAGCTAAAAATTTTTTATTTCAACCTCTTTTCACGCTTCTAGCAACATGTTTTTTATTACCAAGGAACAGTTTATAATACCAAGCCTTTCATTTTCCGAAATACAAAAACCAAGGAGCATAAGCTAACCTTCGCCTTTTTTTAAAAGTTTTTTAAACTTGAAAAACCAGCAAAAAGTGTTTGCATTCATTTTATCTACTAAATTTTCCGCCGAAAAAAAAATAATTGGACGCGAAATTAAAAAACGATAGCCAGTTACTGTACAAATAGCACAGAATATTCCGATCATAGTTTTATAAACAATACAAAAAAAAATTTTTCCATCTTTTTTCGCTTTTTTTGCGTGGTGCGATATAAAAAGATCTGAACAAAAAACTAAAAATTAAGCCAATTCGAAAATCAAAATAAAATAAGCATGTTGTACTACAATTTTAGAAAAAAATGTGAAGTGTGTTCAAAAATTTTAGAAAACAAAAACAATCCAAAAAAATTCAAATATTTTTTTTTTCAATTTTTTTTGCAGAAGTTTTTTGATTTTTTGAACGCTTTGATTCACAAAATGGCGCCAAAACACTTCAAAAAATATTACTCAATTTAGATTAAGTTTTGACGGCTTAAGTTAAGCATCAGTAAGCAATTGCTAGCCTTCTCGCTCGTTTTACTCCCTCGATATTAGACGAAAAATCAAAAATTTCAAACCAATTTTTCTCAACACCAGGAAAATTTTTCAAAAAATATATTTAGTAGTTCGAATCCAGACCAAAAAAACTTTTTTAAAACATATCATTCAATTCACTCCCTCCCTTGATTATTTGTGGTAGCTGATTTTGCGCTGAAAAAAAACACCAGAATACAAAGTTTCTACCCATTTTCAATGTCGGAGTAACAACACTACAACATTGCAAACCTTCAGCAAAATTAATTGATTTAGTTACTTCAACGTTTGCAGTATCGATTCATATATTAGTTCAAATAGGCATAAACGACGAAAAGCACAAGAAAAAAAACGTAAGCGATCACAATCAGAAAGCAATCTCAATAACGATTGTGTTATATTGTGTAAATCGAAAGTTAGTTTTTCTGTTCATCTAGAAAATTTTCGTCAACTTTTATCATGGATTTCTTCAGTCTCCCTTAATAAAAATACATTTACCCGCTCTCCGCGCCTGGATGACAAAAAAAACAAGCAATCAACATGCAACGATTGTCAAATTCATCAGGACTTTTAATTTGGAAACGACATGTTTTTGTTTCGATTGGTATCATTACCCTTGCGATAAGCAATGGTTTTTGAGTCGGCCAGTTAATTTTTTTCCGTAAATAATTTTGTTCACAGGACGTATCTGGACTCTTGGTGGTACCTTGGTTCATAATGAATACAATTTCTTTCTGTCTCTTGCACACTTGCCCAGGAGGTAACGAATACGCCTGGGAAGGCAAAAATACTGGGTCTGAGTCTGACTGGGGCCTGTTTTCTCAAACGGTTAAAGTTTCGGCTCAAGCCCAACTTGCCTTTTCTTTGTCAGCTAATATTTTGTCGACTTAGTCGCCACATCTAAAAATCTTTATTTTTTTTGCTGATAACAATTTTCAGTTGCAAACAGTTTTGTAGTGGCTTCAAGTGTTTTAGCTTTTTAAAAATTCGGCCAAATCTAATTTTTTTTAACCTTGGTACCAATTTTCGCTTTTGTTTCAATTTTTCATGTCTTTTTTGGCGTAATCAGTTTCAGCTTTTTTTATATCGACTTATTGGTCACTTATTGAACGAAAAAAAAATTTTGTGTGCGTGTTTGTTCTCATTGAATGGGGAATTTATCTTTTTTAAATATGTATTAAAAAATATTGGTTTTACTCTTTTTTCTGATGATTTTTCGGCTTAATGGTTTTGATAAAACTCTCGGTTTAGTTTCCGAATGGTGAACCAACTTGGATTGAGTACATATGTGGCTTTCGTGGATGCTATTTGAGCAGTACATGCCTTTTTTCCAATAATATTTTGCCGAACCATTTTGGTTGATTTTCAGCTGATTGGATGTCGGCTTTAACTCGTGTTACGGTTTAAATATTTTTTTTCTAGAAACTTGCTAAAGAGTTTCTTTCCTCCTGATTTTATCTTCTCCTACACTTTCTTTTTATGAGATCGATAAGACTTTGGTCGCGAAATTTACTTTTTGAATGCTGAAGTTCAACCTCACTTGGAACTCTTTAAAAATTTTTAATGAATTACAACAAGAAAAAAAAGTTAATTTTTTTCATAGTTTTTTCGTCGACGGTAACAACGTTCAAAATACTTTTTGATAGTTTTTGAGAGTCTTGATTTTTTATTTCTGTAATTGTTGTATCGCAAATGCTGCGAAGCTCATCTTCGTCTCGTCTTCGTGTATAAATTGTGTCACATGTCAATATTTCTCTCAGCTAACTTAAATTGCAATGGTATCAAGTTCCTTGAACCTGTAGATGTTAAAAATGTCAATAAAACCATTCAATAGGAGTTAGTGAAAAATAATCGATACGGTAGGCCGTTTCAAATGTCCAGACATTCAAGAAGTTTTCTATGAAATTTGCGTGTATTGTCGACGGAAAATCTGTAGCATGAAATAAAAGAAATCTTTGAGAATCTTTGAGAATTTTTCGAGATCTGAAAGAAAGCAGGAAACAGGCCACTAAATGAGCTCTGAAATAGATGAAAACTAAAATAACACCTTTTGTAACTGATATTTTTTTGAAAATTATTGGAACTATTGGCTATGCACGCACTGTGGTCAAAAGTATGAAAAGCCATCTTTTCTCAGAAGCTCATTTATACGGTCAGAAGACAGAACTCGGAAAAGCAATACTGAAGCTCGGTCTCCTTTTGTGGAAACAGTTCGAACTCCAGAGGAAGAGCCAGAATATAAAATAAGCCAGAGAAAAGAAATATTTAATACACTCCGGGGCCTTAAAAACAATAAAACTGAAAAATTATCATTTGAGTTTAAGAAAATAAAAATTCTGCACAGAGGCGAACTTGCAGCTTCGCAAATAAAAGCGAGAAGCGGCAAAAAATCGGAAGCTGTAAATTGAATAAAAACACAAGTTTAACATGTAATAATTTGGAATGTAATAATCTAAAGGCAGTCACACTAAACTTTGCTTGTAATGATCTGGAAATCAACATGACCTATATAAATCGTCTTCACTACGTTCACTGACACTAATTAGACCAAAAAAGAAAAAAAAAACAGATTAGATACGAAGAAAAGAAGAAATTCACTTACCAATTATCCAACGTTTTCGTTTAAACTCATTTCTTTGAAATTCTTCATTAAGAACGTTTTCATCGTCAATAGAAGAAAAGGAATTCACAATAAACTGAGGCTGCGAAGACGAGTAACATCCAATCACTTTTGCACTGGTTTCCGATAAGGGCTTCAAACTGTGAACGGCATAATGCGCATGCTCGCTTATATGATGAGCACTGCGGAACAACACATTCAGAGGCTCCAAGTGGAAGTTTCGCAGAAGCGAAATAAAAGACCTCGGTGATGCTGCTTCTCCTAGATCTATCACTGCTATCCAGCAGATCTTAACGAGCCGCACATAGAATAAAAGATTCTCTTCAAATAACAAGCCCCCACTGCCCGTTTCGTCCTGGTAAAGTTCATCGATCAGAAGCACTGAGCTCCGTGTGAAGTTCAAACTATCACTAGAAAGCAATAATAAAACAATAAACAAGATTGTTTTTATCGGGGCAAAGCGTCTATGAAAAAGTTAAATTAGAAAATTTAGTCCCAAAACTAGTAGCTTGCCGACCGCCTATTTTTATTTCTGGTTGCCAAATTTTTTCAAAGGGTCCCCTTTTTGGTATGAAGTTACAAGATCTATTTTTGGCTGACCAAAATCAAACATTTTCTAAGGAACTTGCAGGCCGAAAAAAATGCAATTTTTTTGGTCAAGTATTTTAAGAAGTGCTTCCTTATTTGCTTTGTTTTTTTTACTAAAATTTGCCTGCGGTGCAGGAAAATTTTGACAAAATAGATTTTCTATAGTATTTTCGGAGAGCTCGGAAAATCAAATTTGTCGACCTAAAAAAGGTCGACAAAATTTTCAATTTTTTTCAAATAACCGCCCCTTCCACTTAAAAAACTTTCTGCGCACGCAACTGACCAAAAACATGTTTTTTCTGCTTTTAATTCATGAAATACATGACAAAATCGAAGATGTGACTCAGAAACAACAGTCATATTATTTAGAACAATAAACAGAGGCAAAGCGGAGCTTCGCATCACTTGCGATACAAAAAGTATGACTGAGATTACAAGCAAATGAAAAAATCGAAAATTGAAACAAACTTCAAAAAAATCATTTTTTTTTGTCAAAAAAGCAAAAAAAAAATACAAATGAAGGACAAAAATTCTTGAAAAAAAACGAACGGCACCACTAGAAACTTTACAAAAAGCTTTCAAATTTTTGAAACGAAACCAAACCTTTCTACCTAAGCCGATAAAAATTAGCAGAAACGAAAGTCGAATATTCGAAAACTTTCAGTTTTGACAAGCAAGCGTAATTAAGAGGTTAAAATTTGTTTTTATCAAATTCAACTTATAGACCAGTTGTGATTAGTTAATTGTTTGACATGATGGTTTGGAACCATTGTTTATGTAATAGTTTGAATTAACTTTTGAAAATTTATGTTTTATTTTTCCGACTTTCGATACGAAAGTAACGGAATATTTGTGCTCGGGGTGGGTTTTTTTTCTTCAGACAATTTTCGACTTTTTAAGTAGCCATTTTTGACGGAGTTCTTTTATATCATTCGAAAGGTATTGTTGTCCTGGGCTCAAATTTGAAAAGATATTTCACCTGTGATCATTTTTCGTAAAGTTATGGGGGTTTAAAGGTTGCCATTTTGGCCAATTTTGGACAATTAACGCGCGATATATTTCGCGTTAATCCGTCTTAAAAATGTTCCAAATTGGTTGAAAGAAGCTTATTTGCCATAATTGACTTGTTACAAGGAGCGAAATTTATCCTTTTATACTTTGTGCGGCGTGTGGGGGGAGTTTCACAAGAAAAATTAAATTTTAGAAATTTTTTTTTCATTTTATTTTTTCTTACATTTACTTTTTTAATGTTATTACTGCTCCATAAAACCTTAAAAAGGCAGTCGGAACTTTCAGGGCTTCGCCCTGATATGAGTAGTCTTGTTGTCATTTAGATTAGCTTAATGTAAAATCCTTGACGATTCACGTAGCTGTGAAAACGTTTGAAATTTACTTTTTGTTACTTAGTTAAAGCAATTATCTCACAATTAATTAACAAAATTATCAGCTTCAAAAACAGAATAGTCTGATTTAGCAAGCTTACGCGCTTAAATACACACTCGAGCTAAAAGTAAGCCCACTATCACACTGGAGCAAGCGGTCGCTACTTGCCAATGTGACGTTCTAACTTATGGCTTTGAGTTGCTATTTTTTTGAGTCAGCGAAACATCAGTCTGCTAAAATACCTAGCACCATAATAATCTATTGATAATATTTATAAAAATTGAAAATTTTGGGGCAATTTTTACTCATTTTGACAATGTTTCTTTTTAAATCTCATGCTTCGCGCCGAGTAACAACAAAAAAAAAGAATTGAACATAGACTTACAGAAGTAGTTTTGGCAGACACGTGTGACCAGTTTTGTTTCGATTGAACTCCACAATTTTCAGTTTTTTCTCCAACTTTTCCTCCTGTCTGAATTCTTTCAGGAATTGGGCAAATGACCTTGAGGGTTCTGTTTGACTAGTCTAACTCAAAGTTTATAGCTCAAAAGTTTTTAACTCACAGTTTTTCAAAAACAAAGTTTTTTTGTAAGTTGTTTGGGTCCATAAAAAATAAATCAAAATCAATAGTCAGTTTTTGGGCCAATTTTATCCGTGTTATTAAAAACGCGTAAAAATTAACAAAAATTGAACATTTAACTTACAAACTATTTTAATTTTAACTTAAAACAACTGTAAGGGAATGTTTTTGGCCTCAATTCTGACTAATCTGAAAAATGGCGCTGAAAAATTTTCGGAATGTACGCAAAAAATTCCAATTAATTGTAATTTTTACATGGACAAACATATTCTAAAAACCCCGAGTGTCATCTGAAACTTTCAATTTCTGGTTTTTTGACTTTTCAAAAAGAACCCGCTTTTTATCGGCCGGAAGTGCAAACACGATTAGATCTACTTGGTCGTCTTTGGCTGAGAGTAGTAACTTTGCCAATAGCATTGAACTCTTTCCACTGCCAAGTTGTCCAATCACACATACCCTAGTGAGATTCAATGAAAAAATAAAACCATTTTCATGGGAAGAAGACTAAAATATAAGAAATGATCTCTCTCCCGCATGAATATGACGGTTTCGCTATTTCACCAGGCTTCGACCTGTACCCTCCATGTATGCTACCCACAGAATTCCAATCTTCGTACTGTTCGTTTTTATCTGGCGGATCCCTAAAACTTTTCTAAAGGCGCAAAATGGCATCAGCATGGTCTACATAAAAGGTTTGATGAGCTTTTTGTATCTTTTTTGAAATCTAGATTTGCGCGTGTATCACATTAAGATGACTGTTAAGTTGTTTTTTGCATATTAACCATATAGTTTTGAAGTTTATGTGAGTACATTTTTTGACATTTTTTTTTTCATGAAGTCATCAATTCATTTGATACAGTTTGGAAGATACATTACATGATATTAATTTACTGCATCATGCTAGTTAGAACATACTATTCAGCCTCTGAGATTACTATCACAATTTAAAAAAAAAGTTGATCTAATAAAAAATCTGAAAAACATGTCGGCCAGCTGAACATAATATATAATATAATTGTTTTGAAGAAGTTGAAAAACCTTGAAAATTGGTTATCTAAAAATGGTTTAATTTCATCAGGTAACAGTTCGTTTAACACAAGAAGTCGAAGTCATAAATGCATACTCACCTTCGCAAATCTTCAGACAAGATGCGATGCTGTTGCGGACTTAGTACCAGGTTCAAATCCCCCACTCTCCGTTTTAACTTTCCCTCTTTTAGTTTTTTCCACTGCTCTTGATATCGACAATCAACATCAAGAAGTTTATCTTGTCCAAAATTGTCGAGTAAGGACAAGGTTGCCAATGCAAATAGAGATGATATGTACGAAAATAAACGAGAACATTTCTGCTTTTTGGCGGCTTCCGAACCTAAATTATCCATCCTTATCTCTCAAATCTTTTAAATGTTCAAGCTAAGTCATTTCTCAATTTTTCAAACTATCATCTAAATCCAAGTGTAACTTTTTGTAATATAAAAATTGACGAATTTAAAAAAGATGATTAAACTATACTACTTTTTTGAAGTCAATCAGAAAACGTTTTGAGAAGCTAAATTCTGCCTCTCCCGAATTTAAAACGCATTTCCTTAATAAATTTTAAAAGAAAAAAGAAAGGTTTCAGCTATTTTTAATTTTTTTTTGCAGATTGATTGCGATCGGAATATTCTGTGCTACATCCAGAGCAAATGGCAAGGGTGCTATTGTCAAATGAAAATAAGAACTCTGAGCGTTTCTCGAGCAATCGAATTACCATTTGGTCACTTAGAAATTGCAAAAAAAATGAAATGCTAAGTTTTTCCTTTACAATGCTGATGAAAAACTTTCGGCCCTGATTAAGAACAATTATTTTTCACAGTTGTCTTTTTTCACAGTTTTCACAGTTGTAGCATCAAAAAATGATTTTTTTAACCTAAACTGACACAAGTGTTTCAATCCCACGAAGTGATTGCTTGCATGTGGTCACGATCTTCTATATTTTATGCAAATGACTGAATTACGCTCCTTTTCAGAACTTATCAAACCAAAAAATATGAACCAACTTAAAGATAGAGTATGGATCAATTTTAAAGTATGGTGTGGGTGATAAGGATGAAAAGTCTATGTTTGCCTGTTGCCGAGTAAACTGAAGTACCAGTTTCCCCGGTTTCGGCAGCTCCTGATGAAAACAGCCATGTGTAAGCTTCATGTCCTGTTTCTGTCACCTTTAGATCCTTGTCAACTGACAAACATACTGGAAGAACGTGACTATTTTCCAGTTTCTCCGGAACTAATATGAAAGTATTTTCCAGAATGTCATCGCTGACTTGATCCAAAAGTTGTAACAGTTTTGGATCTGTTTTCGAAGATTTTTTGTTTTTGAGACCACAGCGGCTTCCAAAGTCAATTTTGATTTGTTCGAGAACTTTAATCGCTTTGTCTTTTTGAACATTTGGTAAAAAGATAACAAATTTCAGCTGAGTTTTCACAAATTCTTGAAATTCAGATTCAATTTCGTGTTCATTAACCAGGAGTTCTTCAGGTAAACATTCGAAAATGATTCCCAAAACAAACTTCAGAACTGGATAAGTTTGTTGGATAACTTGGATCAGTTTATTAGTGACTGCTCTGGTCGGATCTGCCCAGTTGTTAGTCATTCCCGCTTCCAGGGCAACCATCCTGTTGTTTCCCAGGTAGAGCCAGTCCACTTGTAGCCGCATGTTGTACAAACATGTGGATTGAATGAATGCTCTGATGCTTCTCTCACAAAGATCTTTTTGGTCAGACGTGGAAGCGATTTAATGATATTTTAAAAAAATGCTATATAATGATTACAAACGCTTAGCTTTGTATTGAATGTACTAATAGTGGTAATTTTGATTAAGAAATCGATCACAATGAGATTTTACTTTTCTTTTGCAACTTGTTACCCAATTAAATACATAGATGTAGCAAAATAATTGAAATTCATTGAAAGAACAAGTTAACCCTGTTAAAAATCAGC